CGGCAGACCTCTCCTGACCCGCCCGCTGCTCCCCTCAGCAGTGTACTTCATTATCTGCCTGTTCTGCTCCCCACTCTGTCCCTGGTGAATCCTCTCACACCCCCCCACCCAGTACCTTCGACCTGTATCCCAGTTCTTGTATGTAATAATAATAATAACAGAGCCTGGGCTAGTTGGGTGGGAGGGTCAGGCTCAGTTCGTGGTTGTCCTTTCCAGGGCCCCGGCATAGTAGAAGGTGACCACTGGAGACCCGGGTTCCACACCTGGGCTCTCACCTGCGTGCTGCGGCTCTTCACCAACACACGCCCAGGGTGTAAGCCCCGGGACAGCCCTGGCAGCACCCCTGCCAGGTAGGACTACCAGCCCCGCTTTCCAGGTGTGAACCAGGACCCAGGGGGGTGAGCTGTCTCCTGGGCACCTGGGTGAGCGGGGCCTGGTCAGCCCCTCAGAGCGAATCGCACCTCGTTCAACTTGTCGCCAATGAAGTGGGCAGCTACGTGGGCTGGCAGGACGTTCTCCAGAAGGAGGCGGTTCACATTCTCCATGGTCGCAAATTCCTCATGCTCCTTCTTGAACTTAGCCTTCCACAGATAATCCAGGCGGCAGTAATAGTCAATCTGCGGCCAGCAGGGGATGGACGTCAGGCCGGAGCCAGGGCAGACAGGGCCCGCCGAGCACCTGGCCCGGCACACTTGCAGCCCCTGGGGCCACTGGCCAGCACCTCAGCGCTGCCCACCTTGTGTCCACAGCAAATGTCTCCAAGTGACCTTCGAATCTCCCAGAGTCGGCCACAGTTGGTTTCCAAGTGACCCACAAGTTACATGCCACTGGCGTCCAGGCGGGAGGAGGTGCAGGAGAGGGAGGACACCGGCTGGGGACCCCTAGCCCGGGCCAAAGCCTTTGTACAGGCCTCTTCTGTCCTCTGAGCTGCTCCTGCTCTGAGGCAGCCCCCTCCCGCCGCCCCTCCTTGGGGTGCAGGAGGCCAAGGGGGCCAGGGTTGGGTGGGGCCGCGTACCTGTCTGGAGAGCATGACCACGGTGACATAGAACAGAACCAGGTAGAAACTGGTCATCGTCTTCAGATTACGTCGCCACGCTAGACACCTGTCGGGCATGAGGTGACGGGGAGGAGTCATTTCTAGTCCCCACCGAGCCCCAAATACAGACGGCAGTGTGAGACCCCACAGGAGAGAGCGGGTGGGCAGCGACCCCGCCTGCTGCGTTCACATTCCCTGGTGTAGACAGAGAACATGACACCTTCGGGTGGGGAGACAGGGCGGTAGGGCAGGGCTGACCGGCAGGTGGGACATCTGCGGTGCCATCTGGGCCCACGCCTGGGTGACGAGGAGTGGACATGGCCAAGTCTGAAGGGGGCGCACTCCAGGCAGGTGTGGGAACAGCTGGGGGTGCCCTGAGCTCCCCTAATGAGCCAGAGTGGGTGGCGCGCCGGGACTTGGAGACTGGCACAAGCAGTCGGCAGGGGGGCAGAGCCGTGCCAGGTTTTGTTCTACAACCCTGTCCACAGCCCTGGAACCAAGACCCAGCTCAGGGGCACTGGGCTAGAGCTGAAGCCCCCTCCTCCTTCCCCCAGCCTGATCTAGAGACTTCCAGGTCCCCCAAAGGACCTGCAAGTAAGTCCCACTCAGCTCTGTGTGCTACAGGCCTGGGGCCTGGGCCTGTCACTTCCCTTCTGTCAAGTAGGAGCTACGCCACCTGCCAGGCCACCCTGAGGGGTGCGGTCCAGGTTGGCCTGTGAATGCAAAAGCATCTTCGTTTGGAATGACACTGACAACCAAACCAGAATGCCACACGGGGCCACGGCCTAGCTGCCTAGCTGGCCAGTGGGACTGGGGTCTGGGCCAGGAGTAGCGCTGGGCCCCACCGGTCGGTGCTGTTGGAGCTGGTGAAGTTGTAGCTGCTGCAGTCCCACAAGCACGGGCTGATGTTGAAGAGCACCAGGTAGCACGCCAAGGCCACGGTCAGCAGCGCAACCTTCAGCTCCAGGCTCACCCTCAGGAAGACAGAGCAGGCGATGAAGGCCAGGATGCAGCTGCAGGTGTAATACTGGGGAAACAGCTGAGGTCAGTCACCCCCCATCTCCCGTCAACACTCCCCAGACCAGGGGTCAGACCAGGGGTCAGACCAGGGGTCGCCAAAGGAGTGTCTGTGGCACTGACAGCACTCACGGGCCCCCTCCCCCTTTGGCGGTCTGCGTGGAGACGTCTCTGCAGCATCATTCTGGCCTCGCTGACCCTCGCTGACCCCTTCACAGAGAAGCAGGCCTATGTTTGCATGTGGCAAGTGAATTCATTTGGAGGGGAAAAAAGGTAATGGGTAAAAATGCAGGTGGCAACTATTATATTATTTTTAAAGAATGCAGGCGGCGAGCGCTGTGGCAAAGCAAGGGTGGGCAGACACCCCTCGCAGCCTCTGCCCCCCTCGCAGGAGCCTGCCCCTCAAGGCCATCTCTGCCCTCGTCCCTCTCCTGCTCGAGGTCATGCTGTGGCCTCCGCAGCTGCCCTGGCTCTCGCGCTCCGCTCGTGCTCTGTCCTCTGTCCTCTCCCAACGCCCCCACTCCTCCCGCCTCCCCGCCAGCTGCCCAGCCCTGCTGTTCCCACTCCAGGCCTCAGCTTTCTCCGCCCCGCTGCTGTCCGCCATCCCTCTCTGCCCTTACAGGGTAGTTCAAATTCACAACTACCTCCCTGGAAGCCCCAAAGCCTTCATCCTGTTGTCCATCAGGGTGACTCAGCAGTATGGACCTGCCTCGGGCCCAGAGTGCTGCCCCCCACCTTTGAGGCAAATCAGTGAGCCTCTCCGGCTCACCTCCACTTGGTGAAAGGGAGACCAGACAGGCCTGCCTTGGGGCGGGTGCTTGGGAGACACCCACCAGCACTGCTGCTCCCCTCCTCCTGGGCACCAAGGTGCCCAGACAAGACTCCTGTGCCTGCTCGGGTCAGAGGTCAACCGGTCGCAGCTGGGCACTGCTCTCTCCTCCACACCCGATGGTCTCAGCCCCTCAGAATCAGTAACAATGCCCTGAGTTGTGCAGGAGGACTCAAGTGAGGGCCCATGGGGCCCAGCGGCAGGGCAAAGCCCAGACACTCACCAGGAGGTGCTCACACTGGCTGTCCAGCAGGAACTCACAGTGGCTTCTGTTCAGGGCACTTGGAGCACTCAGTGTCGTCACACCGGAATCAGATGTCAGCTTCTACAAAGGAGACAGGCGCCCCTCAGAGGGGTCCAGGGGCCTGGCACTCCAGACCAGCAGGTGGAGTGGGGGCCAGAGGGCTGGGTCCAAGGCTGCCCTCAGCATTGGGGCGCCTCCTGCCAGGCCAGCTCTCAGCATGGCCCAGAGCAGAGGGGAGAGGGCAAAGTGAAGTCCTGGGTGGACACCAGCACCCCCAGCAGCGTCAGCGGTCTGTCAGGGCTGGCTGGAGTGCTGGAAGAGACATTTCCACTGAGTGCCTTCTCCCCAGGGAGCTGCTCAAGGAGCTCAGGGGGCCTGAAGGTGGGAGAGACCCCACTCTGCAGTGGAGTGGCCGAGACGCCTGCAGAGGGCCACAGCCAGACTTGAAAAGCAGGGCCCAGGCACATCCCTCCCCCTGCCTGGTGAAGAAACTAAGTTTTCGAGGGTGAGAGAGGCGCTCCCCAGGGGCTACAAAGACAGAATGGGATGCCACAGTCGTCATGGTGACTCCAGTCCTATCCTTTCCTTGTGGGGTGACCAGTAAGCTCTCTGGAGTCCTCATTTGGAAATGAAGGGCAGGACGCTAAGCCTGCCTGGACAGTGACACCCCACGCCGCTCTGGAGGGCTGAGACGGATGCAGCTTTCAGGTTCACAGACTAGCTCCTGCACCAGAACCCACCAGGTTGATGATGGCGACGGTGAGCACGCTGCCGACAGTCAGGATGGCCAGGACCAGGCGCACCAGGGGCTGTGTCTCGACGCTCTCGGAGACGGCCCGGAGCAGCCCCCAGGCTGGGCAGCAGCTCTGCGGAACCACAGGATCCAGTCCCTCGGCGCCAGCGCCCAGGGCAGGGGGCTGCCTGAGCAGGTCGGCGCACACAGGGCCGGGCACCACTGCCCGAGCCCCCCAAACCCCACGAGGGAGAGTTGGTGGGCACAGCCCAGAGCTCGGGACATGTGTGGTAGGCAGGCAGGAGGGACCTCAGGGCCCCGGGCCAGCACAGCCCACTTGGGGGCCACACGCAGGCAGGGAAAGCGGGGTCCAGGTGAAGCCCACAGAGCACACAGAGTCATCCTCCAGCTGGAGGGACGGGGCTCAGGTGGGCAGAGCTAACCAGGGAGGGCTCCTGGGACGGGTGCCTGGGCAGGAGAGAGGGCTGGCAGCCAGGTGCTCAGCCCAGGGCCCCCACTCACCAAAAACACACTGGCAAAGCACAGGCCTAGCACCAGCGTCAGCACCCCGGCCACCAGCCCAAAGGTCACGCCCAGCGACTCACTGGGGAGGAGGAAAGAACCCAAGTTCTAGGGGCTCACCTGCCAGAGACAAGTCACAGGTATGCTCCCCACCTTCCTGGCACCCCAATTCTCAGGTTCATGGTCACTTTCTGCCCCCTCCCCGGTGGCCTGTATTCTATACTCAGCAAAATGGGTCTTTGAAAACTGTGCCCTCCGCATGACCCCTGGCCACCAGGCAAGACTAAGGTCCTCTCCGAGCCCCCTCATGGGCCAGGTTTACGAGAGTCACCAACACAGCCACGGACACTCGGACGTGGAAGTGTCACATGTAAACATTTCTTAAGCACAACCCGAACCAGTGCTAGTGAGCCCTGGCCTGGCCCCCTTCCAGAAACCACCCTCCTGGGGCCTCAACCCCAAGTCTGCCCCCGCCCACAGAAGCAGGACCCTAAGAGGCTCCAGATGGCCTGGCCCGGGCATTCTCCAGCTCCTCTGCACCTCGCGGTCACACCTCGGGGGAGGTGTCGGCAGCTGCGGCTTTAGCAGCCTGCCTTGCTGGGAGTCCAGGTGCTGCGGCAAGCTTGCAAACCGGGCCCTCTGCAGGGGCACACAGGTAACGAGCGACTCTGCAAGCCAGAGGCAAGCGGGCGTGGGGAGGCCTGAGGCTCAAGAGAGCTGTGGGTAACTCCAGGTGTGGGGGATCATGAGCCGCAGTCCCCTTGATGGGACCCAGAGGCCTAACGTTCTAGAACTCTCTCTAGTGTCCTGTAGGCCACTGCCCCCCACCCCGGCCTGACCCCAGAGGGTCTGACCCTCTGGCCACCCTGGCTGACCTGGGCATCGTCAGGACATGGACAAGCAGGATGCAGAGGAAGATGAGGCTGGCACAGGCAAAGTAGTTGCGGACCCCGGGGATGGGCACCAGGCGGTACTGGGGGCGAGAGAGACCGTGAGGGGTGCAGGGCCACTGACGCGTCCCCTGCCCTGAACCCCTGGGGGTCCTACCGTCGCCCAAGCTAATTCCCCCACAACAACACTCCTGAGCTCCAGGGGAGGCGGCCACCTCGCCACGGACTGGCCCTCACCTCTCGCTCAAAGTCCTTCTCCCGGAAGATGGACCCGATGGCATAGAAATCATCAGAACTGGAGCAGGGTCTGGGGGAGGCAGGGGCGGTGAGATGGGGGCCCACTCTTTTGGAGACGAAAGAGGAGGGGGCCAGGGACAGGAGTGGGAAGTCCGAGCCCCCACACCAGGGCAGCACCAGGGAAAGAGAGGGGGTGATATGGGGCACGGCTGGAGGCGGGGCCAGGGCAAGGGGGGTCCCAAAGCCTCACCGCGCCCAGCTGAGCCCCTCAATTGTTAACAGCATTTCATCATCGTAGGAGTCATCTTCCGACCGCCCTTTGGGGGACGCACTTCTGGAATCAAACCCCCACAAAGGCCTCAGCCAGAGGCAGGAGTATGGACGAAATAAAAACATCCGCCCCACCCCCCCAGTGGGGCTTTGGGTGCCCCATGCCAGATGTAGCTGGAAAGTGGGTCCCACTGAGGCCCAGAGAGGGTCCAGCATCGCCCAGCAGCCCGGCAAAAAGCAGAGGAGGACGGGACTGCAGTCTCAGAGTGGGGACACAGCTCCTGCCCAGTGCTGGCTCCTAGAAACGCCCTCACCCCACACGTGGGAAGAACTGGGCCCCAGCGCTGCCTCCTGGAGAGAGGCTGGCAGGGCAGCCTGCCTGAAGGTGACTGGGGCGGGACTTTTCAGGAGATAGGCCCCGCCTCAACGGGGGGAACAGCACACTACCTGTCGGGGTTCCGCTGGCGCTGCAGGGGAACAGCCTGCAAGGGAGAAGGGGAGCGATTCACTCACGAGTCCGAGCCCTGACGTCTAATCACAGGGCTGGGGCTAAGCGGGGCCCCCTGGCATCCGTGACGCTATCGGGAACTGTCCAAGCTGTAGGACCCAGAACTAAAGCTGAACTTGGGCATGCTGCAGATGGCTCCCAGTGCTTCCACTTCCCTGAGGGCCCGGGAGAGAGGCCGGCTGCATGCGGTGCAGCTTACAGATGGAGAAAGTGAGGCCCAGTGGAAGGACACTTAGCACTCGCTCCCTGCCCAGCACAGGGCCCCCGTCTCCACCCCCAGCGAGGAGGGGGGGCCTACCTTAAGCCTCCGCCTGCTGGGGACAGGACTTTCGTTACTGCTGCTCACACTCTCACGGTGGTTGAGGTGTGCAAAGGGCCTTGCAGCCCCCCAGGACTCGAGGTAGCGGGTCACGCGCACGGAGGCCCTCATTTTCAGCCCTGTGTCCTTGGGCTTGCAGAGGTGCTGGCTAGGCGGGGGTGGCTGCTGGCTCTGTGGGTGGACAGACACTTCCTGTCCCACTGCTCCCCTCTCAACCCGCCACCCCCATCCTGCTCCACCTGAAAGGCAATGCCGTGGCCTGGAGCACACCCACCTGGTGACAGGGCTGCTGAGTCTACAATCCCGGGGGTTGGCCAGAGCCCAGAGTGCTCGTGTTCGGCCAGGGAGACCCTCCCCCAGGACCCCCAGCTCAGAGCCCTACCCCTGCCTGGCAGGGAGGAGTCTGGAGGTCATGCACTATTACCCACAGCACTCAGACCCCTGGTCTGCCCAGGAAGGCAGGTTGAGGCCCTAAGCCCCATGGTCCCTGGAGACCCGTAGGAACCAGACTAGCCCAGGAGGCTGAAGGTCCGTGGGCCCAGCCTGGGGAGGCACCTGGGAGGCAGCACCCAGGGACGCCACAGGCATACTGCCCTGCCTGCCCACAGGTGGCCAGCACGTGTCCTTCCCGTGGGGGAGCAGCTAGAGGAGATGAGCGCAGGCTGCACCCCCAGGGCTCTATTCCAGGAAGTCCACTCTGGTGCCCTCAAACCACAGCATGGGCCCATGCCTGCCACATGCTTGCTATGGCAAACCTGGGGACACAGGGGCTTCGCCCTGAATGAGGGGACAGCCTTGGGTACCCCGCCTGCCACTGGAATTACAGGCCTCCCCAAGTCACAGAACAACTTTCCTGTGACCCTTCCCAGCTGGGACTAAAAGCAGGGAGGGAAGAGAAAGGGTCCCGCAGTCAAGGAGACAGCCGTGGCCATCTGGTGACCAGCTGAGTGCCCCTCCACGCCTCACATTCCCTCAGTTGTCCCCACCTCTGCAGGTCCCACTAACACCCACCTAGACAGCATCAATTCTCCCTAAACCACAGCAGCAACTTTCCTGGAAACCTCTAACTTCCACTTGGAATAGCAACATTTTCAACCCTGGGACGCCCAGCTTGGGGGGCGGTGCTGACCAGCCTTCTGGAGAGCCCCAGGGTCCCCAGAGCACCATGTGCCATGTGCGCCACAGTGAGCAGCCTGCCGGGGCTGGGGCTCCCTCTCCCTGTCTGCATCACCATCTGAGCAGCCCTGCCTAGCCAGCACACAGTCATTCAAGGTCAAGGTCTCCGACACTTAGCTCATAGAGCCGGAAGCCGGACACACAGACTCCGAGGTCCATGTGTTCTGAGCAGCCGTGCCCGTTCAGAGGCAGTGTGTGACCCGGTGTGGGTGGGGGTCTGCCCCAACCACCGCCAGACTCTGTCCTCACACCCGAGAGCCTCTGAAAGCCAGAGGAAGGGGCCTCGGAGGGCAAGGCGAGGGGGTGGGTGCATGTGCAGGGCCAGGCCGCAGGCGAGGGCGGAGGTGGCTACCGTGGCCGTGGCCGAGCCAGAGCGGCTGGGTCCTTGTAGACTGTGCATGGAGCTCTACAGGGGCTCCTCTAGACCCCGCAGCCCAGAGAGGGAAACTTGCCACGCATGCCTCAGGCTCTTTGGATTCTCAGCTTTGTGAATGAATCCAATTAAACAAAGCTGGGAGGAGTCAGGGAGGCAGGACTGTGAGATGAAGAGGAGGACCCCAGTTCAATCCAGGGTGGGGGGGGACACACTGAAAAGTCAGTGTATCACCCAACTAGGGGCAACCCTGGCAGCCCAGGAGGGGGTTTTAGAGCCCTGCCTGCTGCTGCCTTTGGCGGGGGGTCAGTGGGGGGTACGGGTTGGGGGTGCCCCACTCCCTCAGAAGCTGTCCTGCACGCTGCCAGGTACTGGGCCCCTCGCCCGAAGCTGTCTGTGGAACTCACACTGACATTAAGTAGGTTGAAAATCATAAACAGGAGCATCTGGGGCAGGGAGAGAGGAAGGAGCAGGATGACAGGGTCCCGCGGTGCGCAAGCCCAGCGCAGACGTCAGCAGCTGCCCGGCTGTGGGCCAGCGCCTTGAGGAAGGCAGGGGTCCTGGCAGCAGGCCCAGGGCGGCAGGCTCAGGGCCAGAGAGGGTTGTTTCCAGGAGGGTGAGGCCGCCAGCCCGGAGGTCCCCAGGGGGGGTCTCCCCAAATGCCCACTCAGCACCCACGGCTCTCAGTGGGCCTGGGAAAGCGCACCCCGGGGAACACTGCAGGACAGGGTAGGCCCGGGCAGGCTCCCGGGAAACAGGCCTCCGGGCCAGCGTGGCCGAAGCCAGAGTGAGAGCTGGAGAGAGCCTGCTGTAGCCAACATTCCTGAGTGAGTCCCGAGGATGATTCACCCGAGGCCGCCACACAAGCTGGTCTCCCACGGCCGGAGGAGAATGGCCTCAACCGCGTGACAGAGGCCGGGGGTACAGGACTGCGACCACCGGCTTGGGGCAACCAACCCCCCCGGCACAGAAGCCTGAAGAAACCGGGGCCCTGGAGAAGGTGGAGGCTTCCCGCCGGCGGACACTAGAGGCCCAGAGCCAGGACGCAGAGCTACTGCCCGGTGGCTCTCTGGCCAGCCCCACTTTCCGCAGGCTCGTCCAAAGCAAATTTCAAAAATATCTTTTGAAAGTGTGGGAGCTGAATGACGGCCTCCCAGAAACCACGCTAGCAGTGGTAGTGTGCTGGCGTGTGGATGACACGCCGGCTCGTCTGCTCTCCCCTCCCGAGGAAGCACTGCTGTCATTCCCTTTGCAGAAAAAGGGACCCTGAGGCCCGGGAAACACCCCATGGCGGGGAGCTCACCCAAAGAGCCCAGCCTGTTTCTCTCCACCTCTCCAGAGCCTTCAAAAAAAGAAGCCACTCCCGGCCCTCCCTGGTGGCGCAGCGGGTTAAAGCGCAGCACTGAGAATCTGGAGCTGCTTCCTCATGAGTTTGATTCCCGCCTGTCCCGGAGGTGACCACATGGCGCGGCAGACCTCTCCTGACCCGCCCGCTGCTCCCCTCAGCAGTGTACTTCATCGATCTGCCTGTTCTGCTCCCCACTCTGTCTCTGGTGAAGCCTCTCGCCGCCCCTGAGCTTCTGGCCTGTACCCCAGTTCTGTATGCACAAATAAATAAATCTTTAAAAAAAAAAAAACTGAAAAAAAAAAAAGAAGCCACTCCCATTGTGGGGGTCTGCTCCCCGCTGTGCCAAAGCCCCCCCTCCCCCCACCCCTGCCTCATACCCGGGGGTCGATGACCAGGTAGGTGCGGATGTTCATCTCTTTCAGGTAGGGGTCTCGCTGCTGCCCGTGCCCGTCTTCCACCTCATATGCCTGGTCCAGGTGGTTCAGCGTCGCCTCTGTGATGTGCACCCGGCTGGGGGAGCCGCCGTCAGACAGAGCAGCAGGGCCCGGGGGGGGCGGCCTCAGCAGATAGGGCCAGCAGGCCCGAGCCCAGCCCCCAGCCTGCCTGACCGCTGGGGGGGTGCTGGGTCCACTCCCAAAGGCCATCCTTGCCCCAGCCCGGGGTGCACCCTGGCTCCTGGCCCACCCTGGCCCCGGCCCCAGGTGCACCCCGGCTCCTGGCCCACCCTGGCCCCGGCCCCAGGTGCACCCCGGCTCCTGGCCCACCCTGGCCCTGGCCCCGGGTGCACCCCGGCTTCTGGCCCTACCCTGGCCCCGGCCCCGGGCGCACCCCGGCTTCTGGCTCCACAGCGGCCCGCTGCTCCTCACCCAGGGACTCCCGCCGCCTCCATCCGGTTGGCCAGCGTCACGTCGTGGGACCAGACGTCATACTGCCACTTGCGCAGCCCGATGACCCCGCATAGCACGTTCCCGGAGTGGATGCCCACACGCATGCTGATGTCCACGCCCGTGGCCTCCCGCACCTGCCTGGGGCAGCACGGCTGGTCACCCCGCCGCCAGGCTGCTTGGTCTCCCCCCTCGGACAGGCCCAAGGCCCAGGAGGGGCGTGGCACGGTGGGGGCGCGGCAGGACCTGTGCCAGGTGTGGGAACAGGGGGCAGCCGTGGGAGAGGATGCACAGCCTGCTGGGGAAGGGGCACCCCTCTCCGGGAAGGCGAAGGGCGTTCCCCCACCCCCAGGTCAGAGACTGGGGAGGCGGAGGACAGCAGCTGTCCTGTCACCAAGCTCACGCCGCTGGGCCTGGGGTGCTATGGCCGGGTGTCCGCCCCCTGGCAGCCTGCTGGGGCTCGGAAAGGCTTCCGGGAGCCGCAGAGGGGCCCAGGCGCCAACCCCAACAGCGGAGATGGAGAACATGGTGTCAGCCTTGGGGTGCCTTCTACCCCCACCTCTGAGAAACTGGAACCTCAAGTTAGAGCTCCCTGAGGCACATGGCACCCCCAAACGTGAGTAAAGTCTGTGGGTCCCTTGGACATGTAGGCAGGGTTTGGGGAGCAGCTAGTGCCACCAACAGGCTGAGCTGGAGAGCGTGCCAGGGCCAACGTCAGGGGAGCGAAGGGGGCCCGCCAGACCTTCTCCTGTCACTCGTGACAGGGGAGGGGCCCCGCCGTCCACGCATCACAGGGGAGGGGCCTGCTGGACCAGCTCTGTGGGTTCGTCCCACAGACTGGCTGCAGGAGCCGCAGGGAGCTGGCCTCGGTGGGCTCCTCCTGCAGCTCTGAGGCCAGCCCCTGGCTCAGGGTCGCCATGGGGGAGGAGCCCTAACTGCAGGTGTCAGGGAGGAGAAGCAGACACACCCAGCCCAGGAGCCAGACTCCAAGGGAGCCAGGTTCTTCTGCCACCTGCCCTGAGACCCTCCCGTGGCTGCTGCTAAGACTTGAGTCTTAGCAACCCTGGAGGAACAGAGTCCAGGGACCTGGACACTAAGCCCATGCTCAGAGTTTCCAAGACTCTGGGACTCAGCGTCTAGGGGCCCAAAGGGGGATGCAGACTGCTGAGCAAGGCAGGCAAGCCTTCACCCCAGAGCCCGCCCTGCAGAATGGAGACAATGCACTGCCCACCCTGCCCTAGGAGGCAGAGGAGGCGACGCGGAGGGCCCCGGCCTGGGTGGTACCTACTTAATAGCCTCACACATGTCCAGCCCCATCTTCACACAGTTCCGGGCGTGGGTGGGCAGGGACACAGGCAAGCCTGACACGCAATAGTAGCAGTCACCCAGGATCTTGATCCTCATGCACTCGTTGGCCTGCAGGGCGAGGGGGAGGCCTAGTCATGGAGGGCTTAGGCAGGGGCCAGCCGCTGCCCACCTCCAGGGTGAGGCAGGCTCTGTGCTCGCCGGGGGCTTCCTCCCAGGGTACGAGCCACCAGCAGCTGCTTTTGGGCCTGCCAGAGGAGTGGGGACACAGGGGCCTCCTCAGCAAGAGCCCCAAGTAAGCATCATGGATGAGAGCTCACAAGCTGGGTGCAGCTCACACCAGGCAGCAGAGTTAGACTGAACGTGATAAAGAATCCATCGACAGGGACAAGAGCCAACGTGGAAATGAGCTGAGGTAGTGGGAGGGGCGAGGAAGGGGGCAGGGACGGGAGCCAGTCAGGCCAGTGCCTGGAGGAAGAACATTCCAGCAGAAGGAAGCTGCAGGAGCAAAGGTCTCAAGGCTAGGAAGATGAGACGCAGTGAAACAGTCAGGAGCTGAGCACAGAGGGCTGGCGCCACGCGCCCCGGCCAGCAGGGGCTGAGAGGGGGCTGTGCTGCTGGAGATGCAAACCAGCAGGGCTTGAAGAGCTGGGGGAAGAGCCGAGAAGAGCGGGGGTTGGGGAGACAGGCTGGGTGACACAGGAAAACCTTCAGAGGGGGAAGGCCCAGGAGGAGTGTCTGAGATTCCATCGGAGGTAAAGTGACGCTGCAGCCCTAGACTCTCCGTCCCCACACGCCCTCGGGCGGGGTTTTGTGGGACAGTGAAGTCAGCCAGGCTCGTCTCACCCTACCCCACCTACCAGGGAGATCTCAGCCCTCTGGCTTCCTCTGGCTTCCAGTGGTGCGGGGCAGAGGGCCCTGGGGGACAGAGGCTGGAGCACTGGCACCCCAGCTGCCCCCTGCTGCCACCCAGGGGCTGGCTGCCCCCCAGAACTGGGTTCCTGCCTTCAGCACCAGCCATGGCCACAGGCCTCAATGACTAGCCCGACCCTAACCGCGCCTTGGCAAACAGCCCCTCGCACGGCCTTGTCGGTGAGCCGCTGAGTGTGGGCAGGCTGCGTCCTGCTGCATCCTGCCTGGCCACTCTCATCGCCGCTCTGGCCAGGAGCAGGGCCCCTCTGGGCCCAGGAGGCCGATTCCTCAAGCTGCTGCTCCCCACGCTGATAGGTCCACTGTGTCTCTCGTGCTTACACTGGGGAAGCCACATGAGGATGCCGGGGTGCGGGCCTCATCCGAAACAGGATGATTGGCAGGAGAAATGGCTGCAGCAGCCCCGCGCACCTCTGTCCACTCCAGCTCATGTCCGCTCGTCTCCTCTCTGCATCCTGGCCTGCCACGTGGGCAGGACTGTGTGCCGGGGGGCGGCAGGTCCTTGCCCAAGTGCTTTGTGGCAGGGGCCCCAGACACCCTGGTCCTTACACGGCCCAACCTCCGAGGACCCCCGGCTGGCTCGGGAGAAGTCATGAAGGAGGGTCTCCAGATCAGGCGGTGCCGAGCCACCCTGTCCACACACCGAGGGGGGAGCATTCTCCCGAGCACCCCTCACCCGTCAGGGTGTCCGAATAGCTTGGTGAGCCCTGGGACCCGGAGCTCCTCGGGGGCTCGGGCAGCCCGAGACTGAAACGTCTTCTAGTGTGGAGCTACCACATTCAGGATCACTGAGACTCACCCGTGAGGACACCTAGAAGGCACTTAAAATCTCCCGTGGGTGTGCTCGCTTCGGCAGCACATATACTAAATTGTTACGATACAGAGAAGATTAGCATGGCCCCTGCGCAAGGATGATATGAAAATTCGTGAAGTGTTCCATATTTTTCAAACTGCTAAACATGGAGCTTCCCTACGACCCAGCAATCCCACTCCTAGGTATCTACCCAAAAGGCACAAAAACACTGATTGAAAAAGATACCTGTA